TGTTGGAAATTATTTATAGAAAATCAATCGATTTTCTAAAAGTTAGAAAATCGCTGTCGATTTTCCAACTTTTTAGAAATTCCTTATCGATTTTCTGGCAAATGAGAAAAGTCAATTTATAGAAAATCGAGTCGATTTTCTATAAAGCAGAAAATCAACATTTTCTAAACAGTCAGAAAATCGCTGAGGATTTTATAAAAGTTGGAAAATCCTTGGCAATTTTCCAGATCGATTTTCTATAAAGTAGAAAATAATTCCAAATTACAGTGTAGTAACTTTTAGAGTCTTTATCATCTGATGCGTGTACCACAAATCAAAACTGTCCACTGTGAAAGGATCTTGGCGATTTTTGGCTACTCGAGGCGACAAACAACCCCTGTTATACCATGTAAATGCATGATTGTTCCAGACTGGCCACCCGCTACGTAAAATTGCAGTACTTTCTAATCTGACGTTGTAGACTGCATGATCATTGTATCTTCCAAACTGATTGATCTTTCGATACGAAGATTGATTAAGAATTATGTACAGAATCAAACGAGTCGTAGTCTTGTCAATATTAACTTCTGCTACTCACCATTTATTACGTGTCTGAATCTATTTCATAGACACAACATGTTACATCAAACACATATCACCGAAACAAAAAAATAAAGTTAGTTTTGAGTTGCTGAAAAATGCTTTTTCGTATCCAGCACACTCGATAACCCAGAAGATTTTCTATTTTTGGTTTGGGGTAGGATACTTTCAAAAGTTTGGGAAAAATTTTGAAACAAAATGGCCCAAAAAAATTTCCATGGAAAAATAATATTAGTTTGTCCTAAACTTTTGAAAGTACTCCTCGCCAAAAATAGAAAATCTTCTGGGTTATCGAGTGTGCTGAATACGAAAAAGTACTTTTCAGCAACTCAAAACCAACGTTATTTTTTTTTAGCTGATATGCTCACAAAAATTCTGGTGTTACAACAGCATCATATCTCGCTGAGATATTTAACTAAACAAACTGTAACTGTTTAAATTAACATGAAAAATAACATTATACATACATAAGCCAGTGTTAGTCAATTTTTGCTAATTTAAACAAATGAGGTGTTCTGTACAATATATATGCAAATATTAGCCATAATTCTGACTAGACAAAATTAATATCCAATTCTCTTCTCCTATATTTATCTGAATTTTAATATTCACTGACATTTCAGTTAAAGGAACTTAAACAATTTTTTTCAAAAAACGATTTAGAACATCAGCACCTGGATAAGGCAATAATTTACTATTTTTGAGATAAACATCATCTATTACAGAAGATAAAATTAAAAGTCTGATTCACTGGCGCTCTTTAACTTTCTTAGTTTGTTTCTTTTTTGAGTTTGAGAAACTAATTTATTTTTAATATTTTTATTCGTAGTCTTGTTTTTATTCGAAAAACGATTTTTTTATATCATGTTTTGGATTTATGCCATAATTCGTTGAAGTAGAAAAATGTCCTCGAATGTAAATTTGATTATTGGTAAAACGAGATCAGCATCAACCAAGAGTAAACAATCCAGAAAAAAATTGCCACCACGTACAGGAACTAAACGTAAAACACCTGTCCGTAGGCCAAAAAAATCAACGAAAAATCCAGCCATAAATAAACATCGAAAACGTTTATCAAGAGGTAAGCGAAAACGTACAAGAACCACTGGAAAAGTAAAAACATCAAAAAAGTCAAAAAAGTCTAGACCAGCATTGAAACGAAAACGTGGTAAAAGCGATGGTAGATCACCAAAACGTGGTAAAAGCAATGGTAGATCACCAAAACGTGCTGGTGTTAGAAAAACACGGAAAAACAGAAGACATATTCCTAAACCGAAAGCAACAGCAAATAAAAATAATTTGAATGTCTTTGATATACGGAAACCGGTGAAACAAGTACTAAAGAAGCGCGCACAAAAACAGATTAAATCGACTGAAAAACAACATAAGGCAGAAGAAATACCCATGATCAAAGCGTCAGAAGTCAAACTAGGAAAAGAACTGGGCAAAGGTGGTTTTGGTAAAGTAGTCAAAGGTAAGTTTTTATTTGTTAAATGTCATTAATATCTTTTCTTTTTTTAAATGTTAGAAATTAAAGTATAAATATATTCGCGGTCTGGACATTTTTATGGCGTAATCCATTATCAATGTATTCATTGTTTATACTTGTGCATTTTTAGGTACATACAAAGGTCGTGTAGTTGCTGTCAAAATTCCATTGCGTAAAGAAGACTTTGCTGAAGCTTTGATTGAGTTCGGTGAATTGCGTAATTTTCTTCATCGAAACGTTGTAGAAGCAATCGCATATTGTGAAGATCCTCCAATGTTTATCATGGAGTTCATGGGTGGAAATACGCTCTATTCGTGGTTACACGATTCAAATAAACACACGCCAATGAATTGGTATCAGGGTGTTTCGTTATTGTTGGACACAGCACGTGGCGTCAGATTGTTGCACGATGCCGGTTCGATACACGGAGATTTATCAACGAATAACGTGTTGTTAACGGATGATCATACAACAGCAAAAATTAGCGATTTTGGTACAGTGCAAGTGATTGAAAAATATATAAATGCGAGTTTAGCCGGTCAAGTAGACGAAGCCGTAGGTGCATTTCGGTAATTATTCATTTACCTGTCATCGAAAACAGCTATCATGTTTCTCTCTTATTAGATGGATGGCTCCGCAGCGTTTACGCTTTTCTAAACCAGACGCATACAGTGACGTGTGGTCATTTGGTTGTATCATAATGGAATTTATTACCAAGCCTCGGCGTATCCCGTTCTATGAGGCTGATACAACGATATTGATGAGTAAACTAGAACAGTATACAAAAGGTGACATTCGCGATTTGGGTATACCATTGGGTGAATTTGATCCTACAGCACCCGAAAAGTTGGCTGAGGTGATGTATCGATGTTTGAAAGCACAGCGAATTGATCGACTCGATTATAGAGAAATTGTCGAAATTCTGCAGGAAATTTTAGAAAATATCAAGGATAATGGTAAGAAAACAACTGCAAGCGGCAAGGGTGGTGTCATCGATAAAAGTAAATGGAGATGAATGAGTATATTATGAATACAATAAGAATAAAATTATGTACTATTATTGGATATTACGAAAGAATTACATGAACATTTTACAAGAATCAATTAGACTTATCTAAATTATGTTATCTTTTACACGTATATTGGTGAATGATTTAGAGATGCAATAAAATGCGCGACACACCTATGATTTGAAATTGTTAATGATAAGTCTAATACATAACTATAATTTATGCAGCAGAACGAGCAAACGCAAGGTTGTGATATACATCTTATAACTTATTCCCAAGCTTCCATAAAATAGTCGCCATAAAAATACTCTCGTTTTAGAGTAGTTTCAGATAAGCGACTATCGAAGTAGTTCAATCGAAAATTTCAGAATGTTTCTGAATAAAGTGTTTCTCTCGAGACAAGATTTTGATGAACTTTGGCGAAAACTGCAAAAAGTTGAAACGTTGCTAAGATATCAAGTTTTAACGAAAGATATCCCAATCTGGAAGAAGCATACTTGGAAGAAACAGAGCAATCGTCACTACTCAGCTTCGTAAACAATCTAATCAACTAAAAGAGGACATATACAATAAATCATATCTTGTATAAAAGCCATATAGACTAGCTGTAGTATCGCATAAAGCAAGATAAAAAAAGGCATAAGACTTGAGTCACACGCCGTAATATAATTTTTTTATATTTAGATTTGATAAACTATTGCCTCTTCAAGAAAGAGAGAAGCTGTGAATAATGACCTCCGCCTAACCGAAATAGAGTCCTGCGGGGCAGCCCGAATCCCACCCCGTCTGTCCCGTCCCGTAGGTCAGATCAAAAAAATTTACGGGCTTGCGCTCATGCACTCAGGGCAAGAAAAAATTTCACGAACGCAGACTTACAGGATCGGGACAAGTTGCAGAAAAGTGTTGTCCCGTAAGTTTTATCTTTTGATTGTAATTATGCTGAACTTCAAATGTTTAATTCTTGTAATGCTATCAAGTCAAAACCGTAATTTTATAATAACTAATAAAAATCAACCTGCAGAAAGCTGCGAGAAGCCTCAAATCAGAGTAGACGCCTAAATCTAAAATTTGATCCGCGGCGATTTTTAAATTTCGCTTCTGTTCGTTCCCTAAACGTATTTTAAGTCAGACCTCTGAAAATAATCCTAATTCGGCGGGTTATTTCACTTATCTCTGTACAGAAAACAAAAATCAAAAATCGCCGCAGATCAAACTTTAGATAAATGTCTTAGTTTCAAAATAAAAAAAAAGAATGAAGGTTGTACGACGAATCGTCTAGGAGTTACTATCACTTTACTGCGCCAAAACCATATTCTAAGCAATGACGTCATCACTTCATTAATTATAGTTCAGCGCCTTTAGCAAAACTAGTATAACTCTGCAAGACAAAGTCGTACAAACCTACTGAATATCTCATTCTGATCAGAACACTGCTCAACATAGCTCCATGTCTGCTAAAACGGACAACCTCAAAAATTTTAATTAAAACATGAAATCTTTAGATTAAAAGATGATTTTTAGGGCTTTCAGAAATCTTTTTTAAAATCCCCCAAAAACATTGAATTTTTGGCAAACTGAACAAGGAACAAACAGAATCAGGAACAAACAGGATCAGGGTCTGTTCAAGATCGAATTGCTTGCTGCACAATGGTATATTTGTTTTCTACACACGCTGTGACATACAAGATACGAATGTAGCGTTGGTGGTGTAACGGTTAGCATGGTTGCCTTCCAAGCAGCCGACCCGGGTTCGACTCCCGGCTAACGCACATTTTTCTTTTTGTCTTTTGACAATAGTTCTCAATCGTGTGTAAACGAATGTTAAAGAAGGTTTTGAATTGATAACCTCAATCATTGTACTTTTTTTCTCAAGTCTTTCGGGCGAAAAACTCGTTTAACGTGCATAGAGAATCTCTTTATGTTTTGTAGTAAACTATTTTTGATAGAACGTGCAAGCCTCATTTTTGTTTCTGAGTGAACCAACAATGCAAATACTCCATGAGGTATGGAACGTAATAACAGAGCCTCTCTTCACTCCCATTTTAAAGAGGATGTTTTAGGCTATCCACAAACGTAAAAAAATCAATATATTATTATCTAAAACTTTACCACTATGAACAAGTTTTCCAAAGATCTCTTAGAAAACTTAGTTAGAAAAAATACTTTTAAATCTCTTTTTGTTATGAAAAGATGATCCAGAGTCTCATCTATCGGATGCCGAAAACCAAAACTCTCAATCTCTTTTCGTTTTAAGTGTTATGAAAAATAGTGAGCCGTATCTTAATTTGAAATGGATGATGGCAGAAGCGTTAATCTCTTAGAACAACCGAAAGAAGTAAATCGAACACGATACTAGTTGACATTTAGAGCGGCACAAAGTAAAGCAAAACAGCATTTAAAAGCTACAGATATCGGAGCATATTCAAAACTTTTACCGAAAACTTGAAGAAGCCGTTTGCAAAATTTATTCCTACACATTTTCTTTATGAATGGGCAAAAATTTTAGTACGCATAATAAAGTAACAGCAGTTCCATTTTATTGAAATACATATAATTAAATTAAAACGAAATATTTCAACGTTTCGAACTTTAAAAGTTCATTTTCAAGAATAAAACATAAACGTGTCTAACCAGCTAGTGACACGTTTATGTTTTGTTCTTGAAAATGAACTTTTAAAGTTCGAAACGTTGAAATATTTCGTTTTAATTTAATTATATGTATTTCAATAAAATGGAAACTACTGCTGTTACTTTATTATGCGTACTAAAATTTATTCCATGTTTCATCCGCCTCACTTTTGTCATTATGTTCTTCATCACCTTCTCAACAACAACAAGCAAATAGTAATCAGAATACTGAGGTTGATGACATGGACGTTAATTATGGCATTTTTAATAGCAATCGGTGGTTGCAGAACTATCGTCTTTGGTTCTTTATTCTTCGCCACCAATTCATCGATCATCAACTGTGTTTTACCAGCACCTGTTTTGCCCTTGGTTTTCATACAACAACAGTCATTAACGTCTCCTTTAGCTATCGTATCTGTTGCAGATTTGACCGCAACAGTCGCATTAGCTGCTCCACCGTTACTTCCGACTCCTTCACATCAACAAATGATCAAGTAATCAGCAGTCTTCTTCAAACCGCATATATACCTCAAGAGAAGAACAAAGAACACAACAACTTGCAGGAGTAATAAATGTTTTCGAACATGACTCTCTTAGTGCCCAGGTTTTAATCCAAGACAAACAAGTCCAGTTCGTACAATAAGAGTTGTCCGAACACAATCCCCAGTCCGTCATCAAACCGCAACTCAAGTTATTCAGCTTCCTTCGACAGTCAATTCATCAGTTCAACAAAATTCTTCTATACAACCGTTAATGAATAAGCTTCACAACCGGCTAATCAGCTGCTATTCCTCCAACACCAATTGCTAATCGACAATAAAGTAGGTATTTCAATGCTACGCGATAGTTTGTGTACCTTCTTGAAGCTAAATCATCATCCATCGTCTCTATGAATAATTATACTACTTTTTAAATATTTAGCAGTCCGAGGTAGAAGAAATCGCATATAATTGTACATATGTTATAAAACTTTTTTTCTTACGATGTGTTTATTATGATGTTTTAGTTTAGTATCAATACTAGTTCGGCCAGAATAATCTCGGCCGTTTTTTCAGCTTCTAACTGTGATTTCTTGGATAAGAAGCTTAAGTTTTTACCAAATCTATTTAATAATGTGCTCAACAACCTCTAAGAGTTCGATTAAATATCAATGTATGGTTCGAGCTTTGTAAGAAAAATATCGATTGTTACGGAATCACCGAAAATGGAACAGTCATTCAGAAACAGTTTGAAGTTATTAAAAACTCAGTTAATCTCCGTTCTTTACGTGAAAACTTTTGCTGGAAGTGTAATAGAAAAGTTCATGAGCTATCGAAAAAGAATTTTTGTTATAACTCCGAAATGAACGCTTAAATAACTAGAATATCATCGTTATAGAATCATTTTCCAAATAACTATGTTTTTGCAGTTCGATTTTTACTCTCAAGAATGAGCGAGAATTAAATTAAAATGACATCATCGTGGTCTTAAAACATTTCTCTATTTAATCATGCGTTCAAAACCTAAAAACTATTGCAACAAAAAGGAGAAAAGCCAAATGAAAATAACTTTTCAAAACTTCGACATAAAAAGCGACCGTTACGTGGAATGGCCCAAATATTAAAAAAATAAACACGATTTCATTCGCGACAGACAAACTTGGTGTTAATGGGTAAGGATCCCAGGACGTCAAAAACGGTGAAATTAATCGTCTATTAAACACTCATTAATAATCCATCCAATGTTGGTTAAACGGACATCTTATATCATTAAAAAAAAAATTTTCAGCGTTTTTATGCATTTAAACTAGGAACGTTTTAAGGCCTAAAAATGACAGTTTTATTATTATGATTAAAAGCTGGACATTTTGTGATGTTCGTTTTAAGGCCGTTATTGCACCGTTATGGGCCGTTGACAGTCTGTTGTTCGAACATTTTCCGAAATCAGTTCTTTTCTGACTATAGTATAATCTCTCAAAAAGTGAAGTCACAAATTTTAATACTCTTGGTTTCTTAGGTGACTGACCATGGTGCCATGACTGGTATCAGTCCCAGAACTAAAGGTTATCACCTCGCGACAAGCTTCAATGAGCTGTGTCATCAAAGGAGAGAAAAAGTTGTCAGTTTTTTCAAAGAAGCAGAGGCAAATTTATATTAGAGATCATAACGAAACAAAAAGGTGAATGGTTTGTTAACAAATGGTTAAAAGCTGACATCTAACTGTCAACGTTAAATGATAGGTTTTTTCTGCTATTTTAACTGTTCCAAAACGGCATGCTAACAGACAGTTCAGGACGATGTGAATTTCGATTTTTAAGTCCAGATAGTTAAATGCATGCCTTTAGGCCTGATTCATCGTGAAATGACCAATAAAAAACCATGTCTATCCCTGGGCGAACCGGAAAACTTTTTCTAGGGGGTCAATAAACTTTCTACAGTGGTACATACAGAAACGTACTTCCTAGAGACGTACATAATTTTTCAATCAAGCCTTGTTCCTTTTTTTTACTTCGAATTTTAAGAAGGTACACTGCTGCGGAATATAATTCTTCACAGGGCAACAACTCCTTATTGTTCTCGATATTTTTTTTTCAGAAGGGGCAAATCCCCCGCTGACGGTCCGCCAATGTGCCTGTTCAGGGGCTGTTTTTGAACAGTTTTTCGCCGATTACAAATCAAATTTTTTGTTATGTAGTTAACAAGTTATGTATGAGTTTTTAAATGTCAATTTTCGTTGACCTGGGGAGCGAAATATCGTAATCTGTGGACATCGACTGGTTAAAAAAATCAAGTTCAAACTACTGCCTGGAGATGTTGTAAATCGTCGGCCTCTTAAACGAAAAAATACGACTTCAATACTCATCTGTACGTTTTACAATGTATGTTGATAGCTCAGCATGTTACACATTCATGCGAACCAGGACCTAAGATCACATCTGCAAACGTTTAGGAAACCTCGAGAATAAATGAAGATTTACATTATTGATCATTTTGGATACATGAAATATAATTTACTTAAAAATCAAGTAAAATCGCTAAAAATCTGTTATTTTACTACGTAAAGGATGTGTAGAAAGAGTTGTTTGTTAACAATAAGTTCAAGGTTTTAAATTTTTGAAAAGAATATTTCTTTTCTTTCTAAAGGTAATATTCGAATCTGCTCCGTAGTTTGGGCTATTAAGTGACACAGTTTAAAAACTTTCATGTCCATTATATGGATTTAGATAATAGTCAGTTAAACTACGTGCGACCATTGGTGTTGTTCTGTTATGAGCTTTAATAAAAATTTGAATCGAACTTGTATCAAAATCAAGAATTTTTTGAAGATTTATTATTAAAATTGGGGAGAGATGACAAATAGTCGTCGAATGTTGTGCAAAAAAATTAAAACAAAAATATGTCTGAATCTTGCCACAAAAAAGTGTCCATAGTTTGTTTCTATTGAGTTTATTGAGAATTTAAATATAATAAAAAATTTTCTCCTAAAGGCTCATACATTTACGTGTTCAAAAATTTTGAAAATCAAAAACTGGTGCTTGTAAACAAACAATTGCAACGAAAAAACGAGAATATATCAAACGTCACCGTGACTGTAGAGTTATTTTCATTTTTTAACTTTAAAATAGCCTTCAAAAAATTATTCTATAGTAGCTTGGACGAGAGATTTTTTTAAATTCATACTGTCCGAGAGAGAATGTTGAGCTTCATTGAGTTACAAGATGTTCAGCCACCTATGCTATCGAGTATGCTGATTCATTTAAAAAAGTGGACACTTGTCATGTCACCTTTATAAGTGTCGATTAACCTTCATAGTACGTCTTCATACTGCTCCATACTCTCTTCGCAATAAGTCAACGGCAAAAGTTAAAAGATAATCGCTGCTATATGAATTTCATATAATTAAATCACTCAAAAGAAGGTATGCTTTTCTTTTTATAGTGCATCCAACTTAAGGTGCGTTTTTCTTGTACTTACCTTGTATAATAATACCAAATAGTAATAAGTTATAAAACTATTGGAACTAGTAACACCGTATCGTTACTAATGCCTTCTATCAAATTTGAATTATTTATCGAATATGATGTTGTTGAATAATTATCATCGTGTAAACCAGCATGATTTCCCTTCATAATCATGATCATTATCTAACGGAGACGTCCAAAACTATGTAGTCACTTCTACAGCAAAGAGAAAGAACAAAAATAACCAGACGGTACCAATATCTACACTTCGATTACTTACAAAGACCAGTACGAATTTGATAGTAAAATAAACAGCAAAAAAGTAACGTTTTGCACATAAAAATAGATAGTTGAAAAGACATTGAACAACTGAGACCATAGTTTTGAGGACTTTTTGCGACAATAACACCGGTGAAATTAAACAATCTTTAAACATTCTCAACTACAGAGTAAAGATTCAAATTTTATAGAATATCAAATTGAATTCAAAAATGTTTTGAGATGATAATAATGTGTTTTCTGTTTTGTTAACTGGTACAGTCATAAAAGATTCTTCTCCATAATAGATAAATAAATCAGATAAAAGAGTGAAATTTGTTTAGTTTAACAATGCCATTATATTGTAACAAAATACTGTTACTATTTGACAAGTTATACTTTCAATTTGGCAGAGTTTCAAATGAAAAGTTTCAAAGTCTTGTTTCGAAAATCAAATGAATTGTTATTCTATAAGTTAATAATCAGCAATTTATGTTGTTTTTAAACCATTTTATAATTAAAAAATCTTTCTTCTTGTCTCTTTCTTTCTTTCATAAACACGAAGAAAAAAAGCAAAAACTCAATCACGTAGTTATATTAATAATAGAACAAAAGAAAAACCAAGAAATAAACTAATCTGTCGGTATATAAAAAAAAGAAAAAGACGAGGATTCTTAGAGGAAGAGGTCTATGTCTAATATTTGTGTTGTTGTTAGTATAATTATTCGGAATACTTGGACGGCGGTTTATAAAATGCAATTTTTCTAGATTTTATTGCTGCCCATTTTACACGTTTCCAATGATACATTAATACACACAGAGGGGCAAATATTAAGATACCTAAAACAACGAACAAAATAGAATATACATGTTTGATTAAAAATAGCTGAAAAATAGTATATTATGATCAAAAATATACTCCAACGAGAAAATATGTCATATTATCGCTCATAAATTGTATCCATCGATTTTATGTTCACGCAATATCTCAGAAAATGCTTTTAACGCTAATTCAAACGGTTTCCTCACAAATGGTCTTATTTTTTGTATTGAAAATGTTATAAACTTGATAGTAGTTCATGAGACTAGACTAGCTAGAAAAGCGATAGTTAATGTTCGTCAGTAGCGATCATCATACCTTTAACTGCCATCTTTTTTCTATCATCATGTTCTCTTTCGGCTGACCATTTCAAAAATGAGACAACATCAGCTGCCAATTGTGTTTCAGTAGCTTTTGTTCCATCTGTATATTCAATTTGATCATCGTAGAGTTGTTTAGCCATGGCGATCCATCCTCCGCCGAAATAAGGATTATAATGTAAGTTCTCTTCTCCTTTAAGACCAGCCGGTGGATCCTGATATCCGGTCAATAAGCTAAAGATATAATTTGAGCCATCAGGACGACCTAGAACACACAGGACGCAACGTCTTTCTCATTTTTTTCTCACTAATAGTGCCACGCACCCAATGAAATCAATGATAAATCTGGTGGTAGTGCGCCGTTATTAGCTGCCTTTGCAGCCTTATCGTTTTTGTACGGTGGTGGTACGTGATCGGTCAATTTTCCGGGTCTTGTAAACATAAGTCCTTCATCATTGGGACCGTCTTCGATGAGATTGTCCGCTGCTTCCTTCTTGGCATCATCTTCAGTATGACAGACACCGACCAAATGTCGATATTGAAGAAATTTCATTGAATGGCATGCAGCACACACTTGTTTATAAACTTCAAAACCACGACGAATTGCTGCATGATCCAACGACGAGAATGGTCCGTCAAATGTCCACGGTACTTGTGCAGGATGCGCTTTGTCAGATGAGGCCAACAGAGCTTGTGAACGAGCCCAACAATAACCTAGTGTACCTGAAATACAGACATTAACACGTTAAAGATTTTTTGGCTACTTTAAAATCTGTAGATTCATCTATCTGATAAGCGCAATTAAATAAGATACTATTCTTTCAAAGTACTATCTAGACACACTTTCTTAACCAACCTACTTCAATAAGTACTACTCGATCGATATACGCAGTTTTCATTGAAATTTGTATGGTAGTTTGTGGCAACATATCTAGGAATATGCTCCAAAAAGACTTTCTAGTTAACATGCTTTTATTAATACTTCAACAAATCTACTGAAAGCATGTTAAATCTATGATCGTACTACACTTTATTTCACTCGCATTTACTGATGTACTCCTCTGCGGTGATTCTTCTCTTGTTCTCTTATTCCTTTGCCTTTTACCTTTTTCGAAGAAATTTTTCAAAAACGTTTTCATCGGCTTAAAATATTTATTAATACGTTTATCATAGGATGCCCATCTCTCACTGTAGGAACAACTAAAAACAATCACATATTCAATGGTTGTATATGAGCGCACATGTGTAACAAATATTCGAAACATGTCTAATTCGGAATATATAGCGGCTACAATAGGCACTTCTACTAGAACCGTGGTTTTAGCGTTGTCATAAACCATCTGGAATCTGATTGAAAATACATATATCAATTGAGTATGCTAGGTCGCAAAACGATGCATTTACCCTTAAAGAGCGAAAAAAAAAACATCTCATTATAAGAAAATCATATGGAATATTAATTGGATGTTTACTAAAATAAAATAAACAACAGTTGCTTCGACAACATACTTAATCAAAGCTTTTGCAGAATCATGGCTAAACCTAAATTCATTTTCAACCTACCCACTGCTAATAAACCGCCTCCGATTTGATAAGCTAATCGTTTCCATTTTGTTGTTGATTGTGTACTAGATGTGACAGTTGTTGAATTTGAACGAATAATAATAAATAACGGTAGCCGTTGAGTACGACATAATAAGAGAGATGGTGATGACATGATAATAACACTGAATTAGAATTGATCAATTACATAAGAGAGAGACAACATCTAAACATAGAAACACAATGTACATGTTAGACGATTCCTTCACTCTACAGAGTAGAATTCTAACTAATTTCTGAGTTAAGAAAATGAAAATGTCTAAATTAATTTACCTCAGAAAAACTATTGTCAAGCTCTTCTGAAATCACCTATTATAATCGACATTTATTCAATCGTTTTTATCAATGCTTAGTGGGTGAACAGCTTAAACGCGTCTTTATTCGTCATTTCAACGATCACACCAAATCAGAAGTACTATTTTTTTTATCGCTTACTATTCCTGAATGTGCATAAAGAATTTTATCACATATTTCATAGAACAAGACAAAATAACCATGTCACAAATTGATCATACACACACTCTATGTGCTAGAAATTATGTAGCGTAATATCGCGTGTTTGATCCCGAAAATTAGATGAAATCTCTTCCATAAATAACCTATACTTCAGGAAATAAAACAAGAACAGACATTCAAGTCTACATTAGCATTTCTATTTTTGCTAAAATCACAATCTTTGTTTTATTTATATTGTTGTTTATTTTTATTTATTCTAATTTTTTTCTCTTTTTTATATATATATCTATATAAATCGTGCCAGAGAGTTACCATGAAACTAGTCGGCGAGTCAGCGACAATTTTTCCCGTATTTATCTTAGAATTATTTCATTAAAAAAATTCCTTGTGAGTAGTGTAAACCGTTCGAAAGACACTTATAAATGAGAATAGTCAGATGTGTACTTTTAAACTAGAAATGCACTTTAATGGTGTTTTACGTCAGTCTATAATGATAGCGAACGAAATGATTAGATATCAATACTTTACTCTTCTGTCCATTCTAATATTGATTTATTTAGCTATATCTGTTTACTTTTATCTACTTTTATTTAACCAATGTAAATTTTCTGTGCCTTTTTTTGAGAAAAATAAATGAGATAATAAATCATTCCAGGTATTACATGATTTGCCTTTGAAAGGATTCTAACATCTAAGGAACCATTAACACATTATTTTTACTACTAAGAACTATATTATTCAATAGAGAAAATTTTTTTTACAATAACATCTCGTTTTTTGTACTTACTTATGAGACTTGTATAGTAATAGTTAGCATAAAATAGATTTTGAAAGAAAATATAAATTCTTTTTGCTCTTAGAAAAAAATATGTCTGGTCTGCGAGTATTATCAACGTCTATACTTGCAAATTGTCGTTCATACAATACGACTATTTGCTATTTATCCTAGGCTTGCTTTAGTCTTGAATTAGTACTACATTTAATGGAATGATTCTTTCATCTTTGTAGATGGTTGGTTGTAATTATTTGCTTGATTTTTTCTCGACAAATCATCCATCTTGTTTAAAAGATGTTGATGTTGGTGATATTATTCGTCAAACACGTCGTTTATCCACTGGCTCGACGTCTTCTGCGGATCAAACTCGACTTTATCATCTTGTTGTCGATGTTGAAACATGTTTAGAACGCTTGTACGGCGGTTATTATCCCGACTGGTTGTGTGGCGGTGAATGGTCACATTTGTATTCTTATATGGTATCACTAGTCAAGACGTGTCAAGATTTACGTCTTTCACTAATATTCGTTTTCGATGGAACACTTTATCGTTGGAGTCAAGCACAATGGTACCAGGAACAATGCGATGGACGAAAAAAAATTAATCTGATTTATAAACATTTCAAACTTCAAGTAAGTCGGGATAATAACTGTTTCCCTCTCGATGGACGATTCAGAATTATTCTTGAGTATTTGCTATAGAAACAGATTTTGGAGGGAGTTCGGCTGGATAAAAAGGACCTTTTGCTCAAAAGGTACATGATGCATCCACCCTACTCTCACTCTTTCTATCTCTCGGTTCGATTTTCAAAAATTCTCTGAATTTATTCAGAAATTTGGACAACCACGTCGTCATTTATGGATGCCACCTGCTTATTTATCATCGTGTTTACGTTCAATAATTCGAGAATTTAATTCATCCGTTTATTTTCAAATGTATCAAACATCTACTCATCACAATGACGAATTCAAACAGATATGTTTAAGAACCGATAATCTACTAGGAATTGTTTCCGGTGATTTAGATCTTCTTCTAACTCAACCAATCAAATATTTTTCGTCTAAACATTTTAAATTATCACTGAGAGGAAAACTAACGTTGGCACATGTCCAATTAGCACAATTACAACAAAAATTAGATTTAACATCAGTAAAACAATTGTATCTACTAGCCACACTGCTAGGTAAGAAAAGAAAAAACAATATTGAGATTAAACGCAAAGTTTATAAGTTAAAATTTCCCTTCTTAATCAAAGAATTCGTATTGACATCAGAGGAACTCGTTTGCACTTTAAGTTAAGAATCAATATTGTCTTGAGTTCTACAAACATTTGATAAATAATGATATGTTTAGTTCTAGGACAAGAAAGTTATTTGCGTCTGATTAAAGGAGATATTAGTTAGTATGGACAATTTTTTTCCTTTTTATAAATAAATAGAATTTCTACCCCAAACATGGAGCATCGCCCAATCCATCTCAGTGATCAATTTACTGGTCGATGTATCTATATGGAGATAAATGTTTCTCTAGATGCAACTAGATAGCATTGTCCATGAATTGACATTTGCATCGGGTCTAACTTGATGCATGTAGATGTGTTAAGCAAAACGCCGAGCAATGCTTTATCTAGAGCATCTAGATAAAAGAGTAAAAAATATCGACCGATACGCCGGCTAAAGCATCTAGATATTTTGGTCGGAGCATTTTCCCTTAGGACGTCAAGATCATAAATTGAACAGTCTATACTTCAGTTTTCTCATATTTTGTCGATTTAAAAACTCCTTCAGAAATTTAATATTTTATTAGTCTAGTGTCAAAAGAGAGAAAATTTTCGATTTTAGCGTAACTATTTCTAAACATAATGTATTTTCATTAAAAATCAATGATTAAATTAGTTATAAGTTTGATATATTTAAGAGGCAATACAAGATCGCCTGAAACTGTAGTTTTGACCTCAACGTTTCCGCTTGGTTCGGATAAAATAGAGTTGTTTGCCTTCTTTTATCTGTTTTAGGTAATCACATATTATCTGACGACGATTTACGTCATTTTCATTCTGATTTACTAAAAGATCAAAATTTAACAAATTCCAACCTACAGCAACAAGAGACAAAACAAAAAATTATACTAGTAAGCACAATAAAACTATCAGGATTGTTCTAGTTTTACATAACTTGTATTTTCAAACATAATCTTAGTTTAAAGATAGATGAGTTTTTATGTTCATCAAAATGTCTATCTAAGGAACTTTCCCAAATCTAGTATGAATGCTTTTCTCTTTAAGATTTTAAATATTGATATGTGACTAAGGAGTGTGTTCTTTTATTACTTCGCAACTTTTTGTGCAACAGAAAGATATAATGATTAAGCATTCACTGTTCACGCGAGATAAGAAAAATTAGATAAGAGATGGATTTCATAAGCTGTCTTATTGATAATTTTCATTAGACTTCAAGCGTCATTACACTAAACTCGAAAATCTGTTCGATACCATCTCTATTGTGATATGAACGAAGTTTTCTTTCTTTAACTACGATTCTAAAATCCGACACAACATGTTTCTCTTTCATTTTTCATGACAATTCGTCATGTTTTTATTTGGAAGTAAATAGACAAGAGTTTCTATCGTAGCTAATAGCGGATATTAGTTCGGCATACATTCAAGGACATAGTTATTTGTATAATCTATTTATGAAACTCTTTCTCTGTTTTTAATTTATACTCTCCTGAATAAATCGATTTTGTCATAATATTATGAAGAATTATTTTATATTACATCTTCTCTACGTCTTTAGAAACCTGGTGGCCGTCTATCCCCATCATTAACATCCTCATTTGATGTACAAGAAGAGAATGATGTTTGTAAAACAACTGTACCTATGACAGATGGTACTATTTCAAGTGAAGATGTTACAATAGACGAGAATAATTCTATCTCAAAATCAAGTTCAGAATTGGCTTTAAATCAACAACAACAAACTTCACCAAATACGCAGAATCCCATTGTTGACCAATTGATACCAAAATTATTGGATTATGTTAGAAAATTAGATTTTGATAATTTCGATATAAATGCAGTTATTAAACATGTATTCAGGTAGGAAAATCACAAGTTGATTACGTCCGAAAATTTACATCCAACATATGACATAAAAATATTTGCCTTTTATTCTAGACATTTAGTTGATGACGAGTTGAAAGAACGTAAAACACGTTCACTTATTGAAAGCTACAATTATTACCAAAATTCTTCGATATCAACAGTATCTACAGTGGAAACAAATGAAATAAATTCTAGTCATCAACAAAAAATACAAACAGCAACGAGTAAGAACATATCAAAAGAGTATTACTAATCATTCTCTTGTTGTCTAATATTTAGATGCCATTACATCTGTATCTACTCCTATCACAATTCGCAAAACGTCAGATGATAAAACTCCACCACCCACACCATCTCCTCCATCCTCTACTGTCAAAGGACCAATGCCTTCTTCATCAACTACGGCCGAAATGATCATCTCGGATATTCTTTCTACCGATCAATTTTTCACACAATATAAAACCAACTGGTCATCATTATCCGAAGTACTTCGGACAGCCTACGATTTGCACAAACGCGGTTTAACAACACCGTGGATTTGGCAATGCCTATATAAAGTAAAGTTTAAAACTTCATTTTTCAATTTCAGAATAAGGTTATGAAAATCGTTGTTTCTATACTCTTTTCAGCGTGAAATTACTCTCCCAGTGACACTTGAACCTGAAATATGTTCGTTAATCCCATCTGCCGGTGAATTTTATCGTCCAATTCGCTCATTCATATATGGTCTCCTGTTCAATTATTCGTCACATAAACATGTGTCTCGTTTAGCCATTCGTGAACAAGTTTACAATTCAAGTGGCGGCTCTTATCTAACAGAGGTATCATGTGATCAAGCCACACCTGATCAGCCGACGTTAGAACAACTTTGGTTTGGTCAAGATCCCGCGAATGATCGATTACTTAGAATGAAGACACTGTTGGCATGTCTCAAATGGTAGGCATTAGCCTCGTAAAATTGTTTTTCTGATAGATACGTCATTGGTTATTTCTAGTAGTAACAGTGATATTAGTCAAATTCCTCACGATTATTTATTATTATTGTCTGTGCTACGTTACATGTTTACTCATTCTTCTCATCAAATCCAAATTTGGGAAATATGTGCATTTTTATCACAAGCACTCCTCATTTGTGAACAACAACCGAAACCATTGATGAATTTACAACCACTAATAGCACCGGCAACAGTTTCAAGTATGTGTGGAGGAAGTAGCAGTGGTGATTATGATCAAATTCATATTGAATTATATCAAGCAAGACCTGTTCAATTAGCACAATTATTTGTCAGAGGAATTGAAACAGCACAATTTGCCAATGATGTAAGAGTCAAACATGAACTTGCGTATAAAAATATATCCACAATTTATTCGCACCAATGTATCTTGTTAATGCGTTTTTTTATTAAATGTAACGTGTGAATCTCACAGTTTGCTACTGTAACCTTCAAAAGCGATAAGAAAACTGTAACAGTAAGAGATATCTAAGTTAATTTTTTTGCAAAATTCCTGACCTAAGCATGATTTGTGAATGCCAGAGTCCTTTTTGGTGCTAAACAATTAAAAACTAAATGAACTACTTAATTATTATGCTGGTACTACTAAACGAAAATTATTATTCACTGTTTTAGGTTTGTGGTGCACCATTACATCCTCGTTACTGTACAATTTGGCGCTATTTTAACGGCAAATTATTTCATCAAAAATATATCCAAGCAACATATCATTGCCAAACTTACGATCTCATGATGATACTCTGTGACGGAAATGTATGTCGTATACTTGTTTGAGAGTTAATATGAAAGACGAATCGATTCATAGGTTTCGTCAATAGTTCAGACTATTAGATTCACGACCCACTTGTTCAGTTATGACTTGCCCTATAGAATCCTATATAAATGAACTCAGTTTAAAATGACGCTTTGTAGATTATGAATATCTACAATTATCAGATTATTTTAACAGTAGTTAAAAGATATCTATATTTCTATAATTTGGTAGACTGAATAAAAATAAAGGATAAACAATGTTCTTCTACTCTATAGCGCTTTCTGTATTTAACTCTCATCCAACCTGAAATTCACATAATGTTTACTAACTCGTGACAGTACACATCAATGGACACATTTCCCTATTATTTAGATTCAATATGCTCAAATGGGTTTACGTTTTCTCGATATTATTTTGGATCGTACATCATCTCACTCATTATTTTCACCTCTCCAACAACAATCGGCACCAGTCCAGAATCGTTCATCAGAGAAACTGCAACAACAAAAATTTGTAAAAACATCACGTTCTAATCACCAACCACTACCACCATCATCATCATCTCAAAAAAAATCACCAACAACTACAGTGGATTCGAAAGATATGAACAGTACTGGTACAACATCTATTTTACCGCGACAGCAACACAGACCACCAAATAAATTTTATCAAAATCAAACTCAGACTAATAAACAAATAAGCACATCAATTAATCCTACAAATAATATGAATAATGGTAAGGTTTTAGGCACATATGAAAGGACGGATCTCTGTGAGAAAATGGGCAAATAAGACTTTGAGCGCAAATCGTCCAGAATTATTAGAAATGCTTCGCGCTTCATTCTAGAACCTGTTTAAACTTCAAAAACTTCGGAAAAACTGCAGACAGAAATCTCTTAAATCGTTTTTCTCGTCTTCTCTAAAGCTGTGCAAAGTTTGATCGTCATAGAGAAAATCTACTTTTTACTGCATCCGTGTCATTTTCGAAAAATCATAGCCTCTTCATAAAATCATTTTCAAAATCCTGAATCAAAGTCAGTCATATGTAAAATGTATACCCGTTCAGGATATGTCAAAATAAGCCTGCAATTAACCTAGAAGCGGTCAAAAAATCGTATGTCGTACCTGGATTTTGAGGTTCTTTTGCACGTTTTCTCGTACTTTTTTTGAACAGTCGATTTTCTCTATGAAGATCAAACTTTTCTAAAATGCTTTAGAAAGTTTCAGAGACTCTAAAGAAAATATTCGTCATCAGCATAAAATTCTGTATCTACTTCATATAGTAGAACAGTTCGGTTCATTTTCTTACCGAGACTGTTTCCTGTCCTTTGTAATCGCAGTGTGTAAAATAAGACGAAGTTTTTCGCTGTTTTTCTCACTGATTATTCAAACTTTCAAGTTTAAAATGTGTTCTATTTTAGTTGTTTTACCAGTTTCTCGCCCATCATCTTATTCGAACTTTTCACATGGAGCTCCTTCAACGAATAAAATGAATTCTTCACAACAACGTTCTGTTTGGCCAAATTATTCCACTCCAAATTCGACCACATCTACCCATCAACAGCAACCACTGCTCCAGGATCAACCTCCCTCTGCTTTAAGTCAAATGGTTATTGGACACTGGCAAAATGTCGATGTACCATCGATTATTCAACGACAACATTCAAATACTAGTCAACAGTCAACGAATCAGTCACAACAACAACAAAATACACCGAACAATATCCATCAACACCAACAACATCTAAACAGGTAACAGTAGAAAGAAAGAGACGAGAGACAAGACTTCTAGATCTATCACTTTAACTTCACTTTCTTTTAATTTCTCTCATTTGTTCAGATATATGTCTCATCCTCCTCCTATGTCAACCGTCGATGAACATCAGATTGCCCAGGCGTTCGCTGCTGTTCATTTTGCACAGCACCATCACCAACAAACACCAGTACAACCTCAACACCAAGCGCTACCACTTCATCCCAACGCGCATCACCAATACTCATTTATCCAGCCACAAGCAAATAATTTTCATCAGGTATAGCCCTAACAAAATAATAACGTTGCAGCAAAGGAGTAGGATGAAAAGGACCATGATGGGTTTAAAAATTTTGATTCCTTCAAATTTTTAAATCCGCCAGGGATCCTTGTCCATATTTTAATATTTTTAGAATTACATACACATGTTTTTGTTTTTTTCATCTGTATTTTCGATTTTGATCGTCTTTATTATATTTTATATTTAGCCTTCTTATCATCAACCAATTGGTCCACCACATCATCACCCTGTTTACCATCATCAGCCTGCTCCACCCGGTTATCCTCCAAATGCTCCAACACAGCATCAACGCTTACTTCAACCACCGACTCCCGCTCAACAACAACAACAACAACAACAGCAGCCGAATAGTTATCGTTTATCACCCATTCAGCTACCACCTGTACAGTCACAACAGTCTCAAAATTCGTTAAACTCAAATATAGCGGCCATAGCTGAACAACACTTATTACGACAACAACAAGCAGCAGCGTTCACTGCTGCACTTAATCAACAACAAAATACAAATATGCAAAATACAACGTTTAATATGCAAAGAAGAGTAAGTTTTTAAGAGGATTCTTCATCGCTTCGACCGCATTCTCTAACATAAAGGAAAAATTATCTATAAATAGTCATTTCAGAGTCTCACACTTCCAAGAAACTACCATAGCTCAATTTCGTTAGTAATTTTTATGCACATAATGTTTTTATTGTTTATCTTTTTAGACTAACGATCAACGTGCTCAAACACAATATATTCCATCGAATAATTCTCTATCGTCTTCATACGTGTTACCGCAACAACCATCTCGAATTCCACTTCCACAACAGAATACTAATGTTACCGGTGATAATACAACATTATTAACACATACAAATCAACAGTATGCATTCAATTCAACTTTGATCATTTGTTTAGCATTATAAGTTTCTCTTGCTTAGGCAATAGACATCTCTTATCCCTTTCCTAACCTCTTAGCATAGATAATGTTCTTTATAGAATAAAACATCTGTTTTATATAGTTCTAGCGAGATTTGTTCCTATGATGTTAATAGCGAATGATGTTTTAGCTAAAATCTCATGTTTAGATATGAAATTCCGATGGCATCATTGCCCCATCAGCGTTCAAGTATTGGACACGTGAATTCTTCTCCTTCTACATCATCGTCATTCGTACAATCAATTACCACACCATCACAACCTCAGTTATTGAGAGCTCAAGCTCATCCATACGAACAACAACAATCTTAACTGTTTGTCTACGTATTCTTTTTATACTTTCTTTTTAACTGTTAGCAATTTCTTTTATTCGTTTTACTTGTGTTCTCTCTCTCTTTCTCTCTATTTTTAAATTGCGCGCTTTACTTCTCTTCTCTTTTCTACATATTGTCTAAAAGACACATTTTTTTCTCATGTGAAAAAGTATAAAAACCTGTGAATGAATATTTTTGTTCAGTTGTCTGTTATAGGCTAGAAATTTATTCATTTTTTCATGTATGCCGGAATGATGGATTTTTTCAGAGTAGTTAAGAAAGAATGATCATCTCCTTCTTTTGTATAACTTTTGATCTTATTTTTCCTCTAAAACCCATGTCTTTATAGTTGCCATAATAAATAGAAGGTGTTTAGTTCTACAATTCTAAGTCTTGCGATAGAGAAGAGATACGATCTTGATCGTTTTTCGTTCATTTCTTTTCTGTTGTATTATTTTAGAAAAATAAATGATCGAAATGCGTTCTGTGATCCAGAAGTCTTCAATGTTAAATGATTCGTTGTTTGAAAATTATGTCAGGAGTACTAAAATGAGAGGAGACCGTTCTTTATGAGCTATCTCTTTCTTGTAGTTTAATCGAAAATCACTGGATATATTGATGTTCTATACGGTAATTATAACTGTTTACTCTTTTCTTTCTTCTTTATGTTCTTGTTTATTTCATACATAGAAAATTCTTTAATAAAACAATAAAACATGGAGGTAACTGATGTGTACTAGAAAAAACGCGAAACAATTGTCTATCAACTGCTTTCAGATTGTAGTTTAAGAGCTTTCATGTGGAGAAAAAGAAAGAAAAGAAAGTTTTAGTACAATTAATCGTTAAACGAGCAGTTATAATCATTTGGATAATGGACAAAGAAGTTATCATGGTATGGTACAGGAGAGTGATTTGGGGATGCTAGGATTTTGTCTAACAATCGATTCTAACTGCATGCATTATTTATTAATGAACAAAAAACTTTTTGTTAGTAAAATGCAAAAGGGAGAAACAAGTAGTACGTAGCACTTATTATATTATGAAAAAACCAGAAACATGACTTAAACTACATAACTTTTAAAAATATATTTCGCTTGTTCTTCATATCGTATCTAAATTATTCTTATCCCATTTTTTTGATATTAAAGAGGTTATGTATTTCCAGAAAATCATTTCACTATACAACTACTGTTAATTAAATTATCTTCGTTTCAACGACGTCTATGATAACCATCTTTTGCATTTTATAAAGTTTTTCACAAGCAATAAAATCACATTTTAATTTCTTTGAACTATATGTACTATTAAAAAATTGGTTTGATTTGTCAAATATTCGTTTTTGAATTAATAAACCAAATGAATTTGTCATCTTGAAGTGATTAATCATACTTTTTTCGTTTATTCTCTTCAGATGTTCTGGAGGCAATGTAATGGTCTGCATTCGCATAAAGATGACATTAATTACTGTTCAATTATCTATTATTCTTCAGCTCTGTGTTATAATGTTTATTTATTTACTTATATCATACGAACAAACATCAGACAACTTGAAAACTAAATTTCAATATTTTAGTCGACAACAAAATAAAAGCCATTAGATCAATCGAATACTGATAAATAACAATACAATAACAAAATTAATCGAACAGAAAGATACTCTGACAAAAATTTGTTTCCAGAAGTTATAAAATATTTATCAATAAAACATGACATAAAACATTGATTGAAATCGATGAAACATTTGATAGTTATAACGATGAACCAAAATAAAATTCAGTTATCTTCAATGAAGCTATGGATAACCATAAAGCCTTTTAACAAAAAATTCTAAATTTATTCTACTCAATTACTTTTATTATCGAATGGCTATTAAAATTACGGATGATTAGAGCAACGAATTACAACGCCAACAAACATCGTCACTAACGCTGTTAACTGAAAGTTGATGAAATTATTGCTGATAATTAGTTATGACGTTTAGAGATGTAAAGCGGGATAGTTTGTGTAGGCGATTGGACTTTTGTGTCGTTTTGTATGAGAAACGTAATATGGCCTGAAGTTAACTGGCTAGTGTTATTGTAGCACTATTCATATCCTACCAGCTAGTGTTTGTAAAGGTTTTCTAGAGATAGACTCGACTAGAGATTTGAACAAAATTTTTGCTATTTCGACCATGCAACGCAATAAATGGCGTCAACTTACATTTATCATGAAAAATCGTCAATTTAAAGTGCTATCTATGTTTTATTGCTATTGTAAAATGAAGTTAGGTAAAAACCATGCAGTTTTTGCATAATTTTCTTATAGCTGTTCCTGAATATTATCTTTTTACAAGCTCGAAAAATTGATGTTCGTAAAAAATGTTTTAGGAATTTCAGCTCATTAGCGAGCTCCAGACACTTTTTCATCTATCTGCAACGTTGAGCAAACAGAATCTCAGAGATTACATTTGTAGAAGAACATCTTCAGCTCAAAACTCAAATTTACGTGGTGCTATTCACTATTGTGCTAGAAATAATAACATAACATTTTGTAAATATTGTTTTAATTTCTGTCTGTTAATTGATATTCAAACCTACAAAAGACTTATTTGGACGTTGAGAGCGATGTCAACAAGCTACGTGTATGCTTTGTCTCGTGTCTTCATTTTAGACTCTCATTCGAGGTTTAAAACTATGATGTTGTTCGTTATGGTTTGATCTTTTTTCAATGTCTAAGCCCTATGTCGAACTTTTCTTATCAGTTTTAGCGAGATACTGCGATCGGAATAAGAGAGTAGCATGGTGAAGGATATTAGAAAGATTTCTTGGTAAAAAAAGTAGCACTACTTCAGTTCTTGTAATCTGTGCTGTTGTAGAAACCTTATAATCGGGATAGTTCAGAAAAAGTCAGTTCGCTTTCATTTAAAATAATGAACAGATCGATTTTCATATCTCGTCCACCATACTGTTACATCATTTTGCACGTTTTGTATATGATTATTTTTAGATGTTATTCACATAATTATGTTTCATCTTTTACTCTCTCGCTCATTATCATGGCCAAGTTTTCTGTCTCCAAAACCACCATCATCAACAGATGTTGAACCTACTTCGCCTATTTCACCGGTGTCTGAATCCTCATCTCAAAATTATCTCGAATCAAACATCACTCTATCGAAACAGGTTCAATTGTCTAAGAATAAAGATGTTACACAATCACTCGTTAAACGAGATGTGTCATTACCGGTATTACCCGATCCAAAACAATTAGAAATATTAGGTAAACATTATTTGACGCGAGAAGATTTAGAAAAATTAGTACAATTGAGATTTCAACAGGAGACACCGATGCAACGAGTCAAATATTATCTATGGAAGGAGTGAGTACGTATATTCATATTTCAAACGAATTTGCAGCTATTTTCTTAACCATGTAATCAATATTTGTAACGTACTCTATTACTGGAATGGTTGTTTACTCTTTAGCGAATTGGGTCGGTATCCAGTATATGCCCGTCGTAAAGATTACACATGTGTGGGTGTTAGTATTATCCAGGGCCATATTTATGGAACTTATCGTCTACGAGAGATGAGACCCGTTTACGTTAGACAGACATCCTTACTAAAATTTCAAGATAGATTCACCGCCGAAGTAAATGGAGTACACCCTTATCCTTATATCATTATTCTGTTTCAAAATGTTTTTTGTTTAGCGTGCCATGATGCAAAATAATGTTGTCAATTGGATGAAAGGAGCCTATCGTACAGGATTATTAACTTATTGTGGCTTAGAAATAATACTGTACGTATTTTTCGTGTTGCTTTCATTCTCTTTTCAGTATTAAAAATGCACCAAGTCTTGGGATCTGACTTCAAATATCCCTTATTTTCGATATTCAATACTCTCAAGTTCTATCGAGTTTCTCCATGAGTCAATTATTTTTAGCCAGGCTGTTAGCCAAAGGCAGATCGCAAGGCTTGGTATGATTTCAGTATTCATAGAATACTTGGATTATATTTAGAACATCGTCTTTAGCAATACAAGCCTATAGAAACAAATCAACAATTTTCGATTTTATACCGGGATGTGGTACGTTCAAGAAACTGTTAAAACTGATATATTACATAAACACTATATTACTATATTTAGCTTTTGTTGGATTTTTAATTAAAGCGTTACATAGTCCAATGGGTGCATTGATTTCAACTGGATTTGGCGTTGTGACCGGGTATGTAAGCTTTAATAACTATTATTTGTTTATTTTATAATCTTTCTTTATTCAGTTTTGGTTGTGGCACGTTAGTTTATTTAGCAAATTATTTGATTGATGAGAACTATGAAACATTGCATCATAAATCAGTGGCTGAATGGATTTTGTATCGAGAGTATGTTTCTTCTATCTCATCTGATATGTGTGGTTACTATCTCTCTATCTTCATGTTTAGAAATGCTGAGTTATGGGGTGTTCATGTTGATAAATTACCAGAAGATTATAAACCACCAGAAATACCAGAAAAATTTGGTGTCGGATGGCACAAAGCCACATAGTAAATTAATATGTATCGTCTTCGTTTTTTTGTAAATGTTTGTTTTTTTCATAATACAAATAAAAGTATTTTCTTGCAATGTATCGAAATATATTTTCTTAAAAAGACAACAAAACCACTACACTAGAATTTAGAAAAGTTTCATTCTCTGTTTACACATGTAATTCTCTCTCTTTCTCGCTCATGTATATTTTAGATATCTATTATTATACCGAAATGCTCATCATCTATATTCTATCGAATTTAGTTCAACTTTAGTTTGATTTTTGATGTAATGAATATTTTGTCTTTTCAACGATGTTACGTTTGGTGAGTCGAAATTGTTCAAAAATGTCATTAATAAAATATTGTTTATTCTGTTTTACTAGAACGTATAAATTCATTTATTGTCAACAATGCATTACTTAGACGACTGTCTTGAATGTACGTAATAGAATTATTGTCATTATTCTTGGATGTTATGCTAAAATTTGTTTGTATTTTTAGTACTCGATCCATTACCAGAGATAATGCGTGAAAAGTTGACAATGATGCGTGAATCTGATTTAAAAATTCAAGCAGATTTTGATCAATTAGAAGAGAATGCATCTAAATTTTTATCCTCTTATCGTCATTATCAATCACAACAATCGTCACCACAACGAACACGAATTCAAATTAAACGACAAAATAGCGATAAGGAAGAAGTGGAAAATATACCGGGTAATGTTGAACAACAAAAAAACCAATTAGAATATGATAAATTAGTAGAAAAATATCAACAATTGATACAACAGGCAACAACAAAAGTGCCATTGGCTAATGAATCACATGATATTGTATGTTGGAGACGTCATTGATAGAAGAGTAAATACTGACTTTATCAATAGTCAAAGATAGTCTAGTATTGAGCCTATCGTACTGTAAGAATGTCTAAATTTAATTAAACTTCCCAAAATAGTCTTTTAATTTTATAGTGATGTACATTTTAATCTCTTTGCACAAACCATCACGCAGAATAATGAATAAACTGACACATTCTACCATCATTTATTATTATCAAGTATTTCATAAAAGTAAAAATTTGTATAAGTAATGTTACAAATAATCTTAAATTGACAATGAATTTAGTAATGTTTAAAAGATATTGTTGAATTGTTTATTGCTCGAATTTTTATTTATGAAAAAGAATTTACTCAAATTTTCTTACATCAAAACGATACCATTACGGAAGAGAAAGTTTAACTCGTTTTTCTCATAAGCTATACGTTTTCTACTAGAAAATCGAGCAAAAGATCTTTGAATTGAGAATTGAGTAAGAAAATATTTTTATCAAAGTCACTGATAAAAAAAGTAAAATAAAATACTAAAAATGTGAAAGTTTAAATAACTACGTCCTTTCAGATATCGTTCACTGACTATTATGTAATTGAGGTTTATATATGAGTAATCGTAAGGGCTATGTTATTGTCAATATCATGTATGACTTTTATTATTTGTGCAAATTTTTATTTTTAAAAAATAAGTCACGATGACAAATGATGATATAATGTGCCAGTTTATTCATTATTTTCCGTGATAGTCGACATATCACTATTATTAAAAAAGTATTGAAGTCTTCATTAAATGGCTGATAATAAGTTCATGAACAACAGCGAATAATCAGAAGAGTGGCATATGAGTGTGTCTCATTCTCATTTAAGAGCATCTTATTTTAGTGTGTCTCAATTGGATGCGTTTTCAATTACACCATTCATTCTTGAAAATATTTTGATACTTTCAAACCGTTTCCGTCACCACTGTTTGTTATTCATTTTTAGTGGTTAGTCATCTTTTATTTTAATTTCCAAAAGCTTGTGAGCATTAGTTTGACAATGGAATTTCATTTTAAGAGGAAGAACTGCTATACACGTTTAGCAGCAGCACAACATCTTCCAACTGTCAAAAAACATAATCTAAAGGTTGAGTTAGACTAGACCTAGACTAAAATCATCTGTTATACGTTGTACCCTTCTGTTGAGTCTTTGATATCATGTTGGGCTAAGACATATTATGCTTGACGTATTTCAATCAATCACCATACAGTCGATTGTGTTTGTAGTAGACGTAATAGTTTAAAATATCGTGATTCAATATTATTATTTGTTCGACTATTTTGACCAAAAATTTTTGTCGTACACGTAATGGTGTCGAATCAATTAGTTCATCATAGGTAGATTGTACTAAATATGTTGATAGAAATGGAATGCCTGAAATAAAAGATTACTAGCCACTAAGAATTAATAACAAACACTGATGACAGACACAAATGGGCTAAGCGAATGGGAGGGAGTCCGGCGGGTGAAAATACGCACCCAAATGAGACACACTCAAGTGAAGTCCCGCCCAAATAATTCTATAATTTTTTCATATAAAATAATTTTATTTATCAGAGTGATATTTGAACTGTAACTAACTATCTGTAATATTAGCCTTTCGATCTATACAATAACAGATTCCACATATTAATCCTATGTTAAATAACTATCTATCAATGCTATTTTTTCGATATCATTTAGATTGAACGATATTATAAAAAATTAGAACATGATTTAAATAAATTTAAAATGGAACTAGAGGCAGATTATTCGGGAATTACTGAAACATTGGAAAAACGTATGTATTTATTAAAATTTTGTACTTTTACTCATCATAAATAAATAAGACAAACTATTTGACAATCAAACAAGTGATTTCAATATGATTGCTAAATGATTAATACTCAACACATTAGCCTTTCTTGGAAAAAGTACTATTTCTTAAACACATAAATTAACTGGAACTCAGTTACTGGATCATTTTACTGATGTTATATTCTGATAACTTTTATTTTTTAGGTGTAAATGAAGGATTTAATGAAAATGAAAATACAAACAATATTTATGATAGTGAGTAATGAAAAAAAAGTGAACTAGATATCACACGACGTTAGACATTATAGAGGTTTATTTAACGAACGTTGGTTCATCTCAAAAGTATCTGTCGTAAAATCAAATTTAATTTTTAGATGTTAGCGTCTGTCATATTTTAAGAGAAATAAATCCAGCTAACTCATATCCGACTTATGCCGTCTTGTAAATTGTTCCCTGTGATTGCGAATTTTTACATTGTTCTTTCAAAGAGGAAAATAGGGTTAGTTATCTTATCGAATGTTAGTGTAAACAAAGTGAACGTGGCTAGTATTTTCTTGTCCTGAAGATGTTAGAAACAAGACTTTTGTCTGTTATCTTAGATTAAGACTAATAGAAATGTCGTTGTCCAACGATGGAGAAAAGGTAAGACAGATGGAATAGAACAGCAGTTGCATGGCAGATCAATAGACAAAATTTATCTCTATAAAGTACTAGTTATATCCTCAGTTCTGAATGGAAACTGAAAAAAAAGACCATAGTGACTAGTTCTAATCAATTATCTCACAAGGGAAGTACTACCCCAAGTTGTAAATCGTTTTGTCAATGAGACTAGGTGGACTATATGTAATTGATGACACTAATTCCGAATATAAACATCAAAGTTGCTCCTAGGCTTTTGGTGACCGATTTTCTGAAAACTGAGTCTTTAGAAATCCATGAACCAAATCCAGAAAAGTTTTCTGAATCAGCCATTTTGTAGAGGACACAAAACTATCTACATAAGTTTTAGTATTTCAAAATATCATTGAACGGTGCTATAATTTTTGCAAAGTATCCTAATGCAACATTTTTCCATCAAAAACAGCGTAGTCACTCTTTTGGGAAATTTTCTTAAGCTGCGTGATTTTTGTTTTAAAAAATTAAAACGTATGGAATCTAGACACTTTTGTGTCCTCTACAAAATTCAAAAAAATTTTCTGGATTCGATTCATGATTTTCTGAAGACTCAATTTTCAGAAAATCGATCAATGAAAGTCTAGGAGCAACTTCGGTGTTCATATTCGGAATCAGTGCTATCACATATAGTCTACCTACATATAGTCTACCTAGTCTCATTGAAAAAACGATTTGAAACTTGGGATACTTCCCTCGTCAGTTATAGAATAAAAGAAGCATGAATATTTAGTATGTTCATTTTTTTTGTGTCAAAGATAAGAAATGTAGAATTTATGAAGTTCAAGTGATTGCATGATATGATAAGATGTGAGCTTAGAATCTGAAATGAAAAATGTAAAACTGAAAATAAATTGATTTATCACTAATAATCTTAATGTACCAGTAATGAATTAGATATATTCACTGGATTAGATGAACTCTTAGTTAATAAAAGACGTTATATATTAAGTAAAAAACTTGTTTTTCTACTAGAATTTTTTAAATCGTTTACTATGTCATTAGGCCACGTCTTGCATAAGACGGATTTTTTAGTAATAAAGATTCATAAAAGAAAATGCAATCATAATATGCCTAAGAGATATATTTAATCGCGTCTGATATGAGTTAATGTTGAATGTTAAATGTGTGAAATTACAAAAATGTTATTGCTGACTATACAATATATCTCTTTTGTTTATGATTTTAGGACGTGGTTTATTGCATGCTGATTTTTACAATTCAATTCTTGGTTCAAATGAATTTAATCTAGATCCATTGTTTGAGATATTTGAAGATTTTACTGACGAATATTCAAATATTGGCACATTAACTCATACGTATTCACCTTATCCACTAACACAAGCGAGTCGGCCATCAGCAGGTATTCTGTTCATCAATACCAGAAACTATAAATCCATGTTACTTTTCATTTAGGTGCATCATCGACTCGGAAATATTTTCGTCAATCTATCACCTTCCCATCAACGTCTACTCGTGGTCGTAAACGTCTTCACGGTACATCAACACCGACAAAACGTAAACGTAACAGTACTACACGCACACCATCGACAAACATAAACAACTTCTATTTGACTGATTCATCCCATCTCATATTACCATCGTCTGATAGTGACGAATCATCCAGTTCTTATCTTCAATCTGCTTTATCAACGACTCAAGATTATTTTAATACAAATTCAAATTCAATCGAACATCAGCAACATCAACTATCATTTGAGGATGATTTCGATCAAGCAGCAAATATTCTGACTGGTAAGATGATGAAATGTTTCTTATATAATAATCTTCATGCTTTATTTTCAGCTAATTACAGTGGATCATCTGGTCAAGTTGATGATCGTCGTTATTGTTTTTGCAACCAAATGTCCTATGGTGAAATGATTGCCTGTGATAATCCGTTGTGTACGCGGGAATGGTTTCATTATCGGTGTGTAAATATACAAGTAGCGCCCAAAGGAAAATGGTACTGCTCTGAATGTTTAAAACAAACAGCAGCTATCACCAGTCAATTATCAGCATCGACAAATAAACAAACTTCAATATCATCTAGCAGTCAAAATACACTATCACCACCATTGGCTTAATATAAAAAGATAGCGAGATGAAAACTCTGATTCTATTTTCTACTTGAGTTATGAGCAAAGGTGCAGAATATACTCGTTACTTCCAACGTCCGTTGGGGAAAAGTCTTTGATTCGGACAAATTTTTTAGAAAAGCTTTGAATTTCTCACATTATTTCTCATATTAGTGAGAAATTCTTTAGAAATACTCCGTCGAGGGAAGTTTTTCATTATTACGAGTAGATTTTACACCTCTGATAATGAGCAGTATTTTTGAAAATTGTTTATATTTAATTAACAGGCAATTTTAAAAAAAAACGTTTTGATACTTTGGTACATCAGCTATCTGCTGACAAGAGGTCAAGAACAAGATCAGTCTTATATATACTCTTATCTTCGTTTATCAGTCATTTGTGTTCGTATTCGTTCGAATAACAGCAGTTTTTACTTTAAATAGAGAAAAATGGATTATGAAATAGTTCAGGAAGGATGTATGGTCGTCAAAGCAGAGCATGGCTCTTCAACTAGTCTTGTCAATAGGAAACAATGTATAGAATATCTTGAAAAAACTGGAGTTATTGTCTGTTGTAGCTACATGTTCTAAAAATGCGTTTCGTGCTGCTTCACTTCCTCTTGATTCGAATAGAATCAAATAGCGGATTCCGGGTCGATGCGCACGAACAATGGTACACACGAAAACTCTCACACGAGGAAACTTACGCGCGGAACAATGCGCACAGATATCTTACGCATCAGAGTGACACGCGTGGATTTTTGCGCACGAAGAAATGACAATTTCAGTAGCAAGCATTCTTGCACCTCAACATTCCCCATGCGCAAAAATTCCTGTGCACATTGTTCCGTGCGTAACATTGTTCGTGCGCATCGTTTCCAAACCCGAAATAGCAAGTGAAATGTACTGCTGTAGTAAGACTACAACTTTAAATAAAAGTGTCCAAGGGACGATAATAGAATACAATAGGCTATAATTTAAATTTAATTTATTGATGGAGTCTCTAGAGAAAAACTTAGACTAGAAAACCGTAATAAAAAGAGTTTACGAGAGCTAAAGGTTTTTGACAATGATTTCTGAATCTAGCATGTTTTAGGAACCGTCCTTAAAACACCTTTGGATGTTTTAGTAAATTAACACGGTTGGATGCCCATTTTCGAAAATCCTTTTCTGTTCATTTAAATATCTAAAAAGGCTGATGAGCTTTCGTAATCTTCTAGAGGTTTCATGTGGTGACATTCTCCAAAACTCGTCTGAAAGGGATTCGGAGCATTAAAAACTTTTCTAGGCTTTTAGTCATTACCGAATACGACATCAAACCCTGTTACTAAAACATCCAAAGGTTATATAATAACAGATTTTTTTGAAAAGACTGTATCTATATGAGCATTTTGGAATTGAAAATCGGTAAGCATGAGAAGGTGTATGTATTCTGAAAGAATAAAGCTTATATCAAATGATGTATACTATTTAGTTTTCATTCCAGTTTTGTTAAATATTCTTGATTTTCATCTTATTTGAAATAAAATCTGGTGTCCTAATGCCCCCTACATACGTGTGCATTGAATTAAAGTTTAATGAGAAGAGAAAATTAACAAATAGATAGTGAACATTTATTAAAATTGGAAAATGTATTAGACAAAGAAGAATACATCCCCTTTTCTATTCGATTTCAGTTAATCAAATTTAGCAACATCCGCTCAAAGTATGTTATCCTCTAGATTCAAGAACCATGATAGCAAATCATGATCATAGCTCTCACTAAACGCTGATCATTCGCCAAGTTTAAGGGGAAGGTGTTCTTCTCCCAAACATACCCTCAAACTTGATCAGTTTGTAGAGAACATTTTCAATGGTATGCCTATGGCATAAAACTTTTTTAAGGTATTAGATTATAATTATTAAGTGCTAATTAGCGTCACTCTGGTGTCGTACACTTTTAGGTGTAAGTTCTCGCTTTTTTGGGAATCATGAAGGAATAGATCATTTGATAGAGATTTTCAAGCGCTACAAAACCCTGTACTTGCTTTCCCAAAAGGTTACTATTAGCAGTTATTTTATCCCATTTTTAGAAATATTGGATTCTTAAGCGATTTATTACTGTGTGCTCACAAATGCCATTTTTTAAACAACTTTTGACTAACAATAGCTAGAGAGTTAAACTATTAATAAACAGTAGAATGAAAACAAAATTATTCATCTTATTTAATTTAGTATCTACTATGTAGATCAGAATAAATTACACTAAATGTTAACAACTTTTTTTTTCTACTTCTTATTCGTACAATGTCTTTTTCATAAATCAAAAGATAAAAAATTTTGCTATGCAAAACTTTCTATATTCGATAGTCAATTATGACAATGGAAATTATCGATTTCTATTATAATTTTTCTGGATAATAATGGCATAATGGATATGTAATCACATGTGAATTACATCCTTGTTTATAGTGATGATATCTCTCATTTTTATATAGAAAATACTCTTTCGGATTACATTCAGACGTAATTGTATTTGGACAAACAAATTCTTGTTTATGAAAATAGCCAATATCACGAAAACGAACAACTTCATTTCGATTTAGAAATTGTGATATTATCAATGTATGAATAGGAGCATCACCCCAACGATATTTATAAATACCACCAACTTTATCGAGATGAGATAAAAAGTTAGAGATTTGTGGTTGTTGCCATATATCAGTTTTAACAATAAAAAAATTATTGTAAATTATTTTCATATTGTATTGTGCAAAAAAATTTGTTTGAGCTTGACGAATATTTTCAGATGGTGAAAGACAATGATGTTTTAAATAATCTGTAAATGTTTCCCAAAGATTTGTTAAATAATGATCAGCATCTTCATCCACCATTATAAAACCATATTTTAAATGATTTATTCTCATAAAATCAAATAAATCATAGTTAATATTTGTCATAATATACGAATGAGAATCTAGACGCCAATAATAGTCGAAATAGGTAATTAGAGGATGTTTATGTAACATTATGGCATTGAATTGACACATATGATAATAGCCCGAATACCATGTTGTATGTACAGATTGCCATTTTGATGGAACAAATTTAATTTGTTCAAATGTAATCGGTATATCATTAATATTAATGGATAATTGTTGTTGATCATTCTCACTTAAATCTCCTTCATGAAAAACAATGATGGGATAGTAAGGATAAGATTTTAGAAAATTTTTATAAACAGATTGAAGTGATAAATTTAAATGAAAGATTTCTGACTGTTTTATTAAATAATAGATGCAACCATTTTGATGTTCAATTCTATTATTCTCAACATTCCACCAACGAGATAACCATTTTCGATTAAAATAATTTCGATTATGATCATCCCAACAGTACCAAATTTGAGAACGTTGATTAAAATATAACCATGTTGAACAATTAAACTCTAGATGAGGTGAAGTAAAAGAAACATATTCTTCACTAATATCTTCACTAGTATTTGATAGTGAAGAAAAACATTGTGAATAAACTAGAGAGTAGTAAATAGAACCGAATAAAAATGAATACAAAAGTGATATAAAAAAAATAATAAGTAATATGTAAAAACAGAAAAACTTTTTTTTCGAGCATATTGCTCGCGTTTGTCTTATATAGACCATGAAACAACAATCGATTCTTTTACTATCCTTTCAATCGATCAAAGTTATCTTACATATTGTGACAAAAAAAAAATAAGTAAAATTACATTAGTGACTCATTCAAGCAGAACATTATAAGAAATGAATGTTAATTCGTCTATAAATTCTCATCATTTTTATATGATAGAAGAAAACTGTCCAAAAGTGAACGCTTGTTAGTAAACTCTTTTTTTTCTTTAAACACTAGAACGCCCGTAGCGGTCATTTTGACCGTTTTTTGACTTTTATCCTTAATAAAATAAACTTAATAAACAAACAAAAATAAATTATGTCATAATTTTTAATTTGTCGCACAAAAATTATTTTTTACAGAATTTTTAATTCATTTTTTAATTCAGAACCATTTTTAAGTATAAAATTTTTGAAAAAAACAGTAATGGTCAAAATGACCGCTTTGGGCGTTCTAGGTCATGAAAATTTCTGGGCGTTCTAGTGTTAATCTCATATTGGTATGTTTGTTTTATGAATGAAGTTTTATGGAATGACAGTTTACGGATCAGTATTTCTAATCAAACGTTTTGGAAGTGTATGTGTCCAAATTCTAGACGTCAAATAGTGTTACAAAAAAGCATCTATCAAGGATGGACACACATTATTTGTGCGATGAACAATCTTCAAAATATTTTTATCGACGCATGCAAGATATTCTTCAAGATCCACAACATTTTTGCGGTGTCGTTTGTGAAATGTTAATGAGAGTTCAATATCATAATTGTAACAGATTTCCGGGACGTATGAGGTATTCATATTAGTTTTCGCACGGTGACTTAATGTACAAAATTTGTATATGCCATTCATCTAGTTATAAACCACTCGAGTGTCCAACATAACAATTATGAATAACATTCATTGTTAGAATATCGCAAAGATACAAGAAACTTTGTAAATCATCTAACTATTATTGATGGCATTGAAAACAAATTGGCTGATTTTCTGCTAATCGAACAAATTCTACTTTATACCCTTTACCAACATAGAAGACCATTTGATATTCTATTTTGTCCTCTAGCGAAACTCGATTTTTTTGGCAAAAACTTCTGGAAGAGAGTCTTAATTTGTTAAAAATATCATTCGAACTGGTTCAAAAAGAACAGAGAAAAAGAGTAGAATCTTATAAACAGGCAAAAAGGAACAAAATGAAATACAGTCTTTTTTATTGTCTATTCGTGAGATTCTGCTCTTCTCACAAAACGAATTGTGACTTTATTTTCGCATGCTGCTTTTGTTGACTCTACTTTTGTCAATATATTCATCTCGCTATGCTCTTGTTAAACAAAAGATGTGGTGAACATTGCTCAGTTAACGTGAAACCACGGTAAAATGTTTTAACTCCAGTTATAACTATTTATAATCAAAGAACTTTTAAACTCTTTTGTTTATGTTTCACAGCAATAGAATGGTAATCACTGACAGAGATTGGCTCCGATGTAACATCACTGCGAGTATTATAATCATTTTTTCGTTTTATATCTCGTCATCTTTTTTTTATCCTTTTGGGTTATGAACCCACAATTCTTTCAGATATTCAAATTATTTTAAAATAGTCTTTATTCTCAAGTTTTTGTGCATCTTTCTAATTTGACTATTTCGTTTCACACATGAGACTATCAGCTCAACATAGGCTGCTTTCTAACATACGCATTTTTATATCTTTCATTGAAGTTTCGACAACCATGTTTACTTGATAAATTTTCCTTCTGTTCTCAAATTCTATATTCTTATCTGTGGATTCTTAAAGCTGTGCTTGGATGTGGTAGGACCACAGCTCCATTTTTTCTTTTTACCTGGATTACATACAGTGTATACGATCAGGAGGGTAGGATTTTCGTTTCCTGAAATTTTTCTCCTTTCTCCTTGGATTTTTTTAAGTCTGTGTGGTAAACTTTCGTTAATCTGAAAAACAATGTTAGAGGAAATAGTGTTTTGAAGGACAGGACCAACGTTCTTGTCGATGGTTGTGAAAAAACAAAATTATACTCCTAAATTTCTAATGGAAAAAAAGAGTACTCATTCATTTGAAAATTCAGAAGAGAAAAGGATATTGTTCACGTAAAAATCCTATGTTGGCTTTTTTATACGATATCTTATATTTTCGTGTAAGCAACGTATTAATTGACCGTCTTTTATTAATTTTTCTTCGAGCTCAAATATTTTGCTTAATCGGCTGCAAATTTTTGCATGGACACAGATGGTAGTCTGCGTCTGAAAGTTTTGACCTTTTGATCAAATTTTTTGCGTAGTGATGTGGTGCACCAACTATTTAGCATTCACTCGAGAATTCTCGTTTTTTGTTACAGGATCATATTTTTGGCTAATATAAACGACTAAATAGAAAAAATGGATATTTTTATGATGAAAAACGCAATAACATTGATAATTACTACGCACGCACCCATCATCAAAGTAAAAATTTTCAAACAGAAACAAATTTGAAAAGAATAAAAACAATTAATAAAACGAAAAATAAACAAGAAAATCAAATTGATTACCATTACTGTGACAATCAATGTTTGAGCTGCTTTTTTATGTTTTTCCACTCTATTTCTCCATTAACTAAAAAATGGTCGAGTTTCTTCTTAAATATGAAAATATATCACACCAATCCGATTTACTGATAAATCTCTTGTGCAATAAAATTCATTTTGTAAAATGACCATACGGTATTTGAATCCTCTAAAATATTTTTTATTTTTAGAACAGATTTATCTTTAATGTACTGACGCCCGGTATCTTCTAGCGTGACGCCAGAAGATAATTTGAAGCATTGTTCAATACCAGTAACATGTTTCGAAACAAATCATAGAAATATCGTTCTTATCGGCTAACACAACCCAATCTCATTTTGACGTATCAGTAAACGACAGGAACACATCTCATACTAGAGACATATATGAAAAATATCAACTATTCATTTTTACTCTATAAAAGATACATACTAATTTAGCTTATACAAAATGAACATTAACATGCAAAACCTACAAAAAGAGATATCAAGAGTCATCTTTTTTCTCCTCTTTATTTCGATGATGTTTTCTATATGATGATTGTGCAACAAAACCTTGTTTTGGTTTTCGAATTCGAATATGAATTTGAGATTGTTGATTCATTATCATACTGGACGAGATTTCACCTTCACTTTTTGAATGATTACTATCATCCGACGGTGGAGTGGTATCATCACCTGTAGTTGTAATCCCTGTTGTTATGATTGGATGAGGTTTAGTAGCATCTAAAAATAACAAAATAGTTTAATGACTGAGCCTTATTTTATCTAGCTTAGAGTATTATAGAGCTTTTTCTATGAAAGTTAAATTTTATTCAATTTACATTTACTGCCGCTATAGGTTATGTTTGGTGATGGTTGTTGTATTTCTCCAGCTGATAATGTATGATCACCATTATTATGATAAGATGATGAAAAAACATCGTAACTTCTTTGTTGTTGTAAACGTTGACGAGCTTTTTTCAATATTAAATCGGTTTGTGGTGTTTCATCTATTTGACCTTCACTGTGGTGTTCAAACCAAGCGTGATCACTGAAAAAAAATAATTAAGTACAATTTTAAAAAATGTATGATCAGTAGAACAGAAAAAAAAAACAATGATTTTATAAATAAAAAGCCAATAATTAAAGACATCGAGCGGCATTTCTTACTTCCTAGATGAATATCTAAAATTAATAAAACTTCTACCATTACCACGACAAGCAACTTATTTATCAGCGTGTGTGTGAGTTATTTTACATTTAGAACATTTTTTGATTAAAAAAATATAACATGTTCTAAATATATAAAAGATGAATTGATTGTTTTTCTACATGATTCAAAACACTCAAAATGAATATCATAAACATTTCTCTTTGAAAGGTAACAACTTCGCTGAAGATAAACGTCGATCATATGCATATAAACTCAAATAAAAAAAGTATACACTGTCTCATCTCTAATAAATACAAAAAAGACGATATACTAACCTCATTATCACTTTTAAGTATTTAAGATAAAGGCGTATCTCAAACAATAGGATACATAAACATGTTGAGTGAACAAATTTGTTTTTGATATTAAACAGTATATTTTCTTACCTAAATGGACTATCATCTAATGAATAGGGTGTACTAACAGATGTTGGCGTTGAAATTGTCGGAGTCGGTGATGTGGATAAGGTTGTTGTAGACGGTGAAGGTGAGACGGGCTTGATAGGTGGTGGTACGATGACTGGAATTGGTGGAGGAGGTACTTTGACAGTTGGAGGTGGAATTTCCACAGCAGCCATTGTCGATGCATCCTTTTTTTCAACTCGTGTTGGAAGTGGTTGAACAACTGGCACACTGGGTTGAGGAGTAGTGGGTGGTGAAGGGGAATTTGTTCTATCTGGTGTGTGAACATCATGAATTTGATTCTGAGGTAATGGACGATCGCTATATTCGTGTGGTGTAACGCTGCTTGGTGTCGAAGCTGATTCACTCTCAAACGATATTTCTTGACCTAAAACAATATAAAAATGAACAATAACATATATGATAAAAAGCATAACAATGAAATAATGTTCTTCATCCAATTAAAAATGAGAATTATTTAAAAAAAGAAATATTCGTATTATGCAAAATTTCTTCTTAATAAGCGTTTTGAAATTCATTTGATGATGATCATTCTTAAGATGGTTGCATATCAAGCAATAGATTAAAGCACAAGTCGATATTATCTAGTTTTGTCTCTGAACTAAAATAAAATGTGAATCCAATGATGAGCACGATAGACTTTATTAAATAAAAGTTATTTCCTATTTGCAACATCAAATATTTAAGTTATTAAAATATCTCAATTGAATAGTTTTTTCGATTCTCAAACGTTGTTTCCTGTTCTTAATTTTAATGAGTACTTTTTCTTTGTATTAACTTTATTTATTCCAAACGCTTCGATTGATAGTTCAATCTTTCTCAGTGGATACAAACATTAATTAAATTTCATAAACAAAACAATTTGAACATAAAACTTTAACATAGAAATATTCTTTCCTTTTGTATTTTTATAGAATATATACAGACGATAATAAAAACTATAGTTTGACAAGCATACTATACTTATATCCTATTTTTCTTTTCTTTGTCACTTTTTCCTTGCCTAGACAATTCTTACATTATTATCAAAAATAATAAATGAGTTTCCTGTTCTATCTCTCTGTCTTTCTCCCTTTTCAATCACAACAATTGTTTCTCTACTCAATCGATCATATTAAATTTTAGATACATGATTTTACATTCTTGTTTCTGCTCTTCTTTTTAACTATTTATAATGTTTGTTCAAATTCATTATGGCGAAAAGAAAACACTTATTGTCAACTTTAACTCGAAGGTAAATTAGGCGTGAAATTTACTATCTATAATAGCAATTCAGGACGATGTTCAAATAAAGATATTTGTAGATATGAAGTACAACAATAAAAGATAAAGGGATGAACACAACAGAGGATCCGGGTCGTATATCGAGTCCTAGCACTCATAACTTTGAAGGGGGTCTTCTAAAGCGTCCCTAAAAAAAGCCGATTTTGAGCTGAAATCGCTTGATCGAGAGTTCGCATTGTGTACAAAGCTGTGTAAGCTCACACTTCTTTTTGTCTAACAGCTATATATTCACTCTAACCCAGGTCGTCCATTCCGGCGTCAGGATCCTGACTGAACCTGCCGGATCCAACATCGGAACATGCCGAAAGTTGTCGAAATTTGGTAAAATCCGGCAGCAACCATACCGGAAATCCCTGGCTCGGAATCCGTGTCGGAAGTTGTTGGAAAAGATTCGACCGAATCCGACATCTTCCGGGACCTTCCGGCCGATGAATCAGATTTCGCTGGATTTGGCAGAATGTGACCAATTTTGAGGTTAAACATAGTCTTAAAGTTTTCTTTCATTTTCTAGTAGTTCTTCTCTCTGTTCATTCGAGAGAGCGGAGGGACCTGTTAGCTAGGACGTGTACAACACGTCCATTGAACAGTGTGAGCTGACTCAAATCGTTAAGAATTTGAGAAGAGCAGCTTCTCATTTTTCATTTTCTGTAGGGTCGTATTTAGATCCTGTCGTGAAACAAAACGGTGATATTATGCGCACAGGAAAGAAAGGAAAAAAAATAAAGTGCATATCACAGGATTCGTTGATTTCCGGTCACCGGAAATTAGCAGGTCCGCCTGGTTCCGAATATCGGATCCGATCGGGTGAATTCAGCCTGGGAACAGCTGAGGAAAAAGACGCACGCAAAGATTAGTGTTTGATTGAACCCAAAATCAACATATTTTCGGTCAAAAAATCGATAAAAGAAGGGGGTCTTCTAACGTGGTTTTTGCGTTATGAGTTCAAGAGGGGTCTTGCAACAGGGAGGGGGGATCTTCTATCATAGGGGGTCCTCTATTGTGTCCATCCCTTTACTGTTTTTTAGTCTTATTTTACGAAATAGTAGAACAAAAATATTTAAATAAACTCTTTGCTTTGTCTATTAGCTAGCTCACATCATAGATTATATCCGTAATAAATGTGAGTTGGAATACAGTTTTAAATTTGATTTCTGTAATTTATTCACAAGCGAACCTAAACGTTTGATGGACGAAAAAAATTTGAATTTAAATTGTCAAACATTATTTACCCAACGAGAACATCTCATACTAATGGCAATTGATGGTAAGAACCAACTATTCAGAACGATATATGACTTGTAAAACACTTTTACTTTAGACGACAAACATTATTTTCCATTATTGAATGATCCAGATTCTATTACGCCAGAGTTTATATACAAACTCAAAAGAGCTACAGAGAATGTGATATCTGTTACCGATTCTGCATCGAAAAAGCAAGAAAAAATACTATCAGCAAATAACTTGCCAACACAAGATCTACAACAACGTCAAACAAAAGTAAAATCATATCGAAGACGTTTAAAAGCTATGGCAATAGCAGCCAGATTCAATAGTGGAACCATTAAAAAACAAACAAATAAAGGAACATAAGACTTATAAGAGTTATATTTTAATAAAACTAAGATGATATTGATAATATATAAAGCCCTTCAATTCGTACAATACGCAATCTGACTGATAAATAGATAATATTAATGGCATACCACTCTTATTCTCTATTAGTGTGTGTATTTTATTCACACATGACTACCCATCTGTTATGAAAAGAGAAGTAAATACTAAATATTCTAAATAAGCTTTATCAAATTATTAATATTTAGTTCAGATTAGTACCTCTTAGATAATGAGACATTGTTAAACGAAGAATAGATTTGAAAATTATGATTTCTAACGTAATTAGAACAGTTTTCATGATGAAATTCTCTTAAAAATTCTTCTCATTCGATAAACAAGATTCATACCCGTTATTTCTGGTGTGTGAACTATTGGTGGTTGAACAGGTACCCTCGGTGAATGAGGTGGCGTTGGTTGTGGTGTAGATACTCCATCATCGTAATGATGATTTGTTGTTGTTATTGTTGTTACTGGAGTGATTGTTCGCTGCGGTGGTATAGGCTGTTGTACGAGTTGAATACTCTCACGTGGTGTATGATATCCAATCATTTGTGCAATTCTTTCTTCTAAAACTTCTCTCGTCAAAGCTTGAATTAGATCTTGATCAATGGGTTGACCCATGTCGACAAACAAACGAAATCCATCTTGGCCCAGTACATCGAGTAAACGACAATGAAGACTGTGATCACTCGATTCCGACGATGTGAGTGAATCGTGACGTTTCTTAACTGACGGTGGTTGTGGATCACGTGATTGCAACTGAGACATAAATCGAGCGATCAGTTCTTGTTCTAACCAATCAACTGTACCTAAATTAGATCAACATACTTTAACACCGTAGATTCGATTCTATTACGAGTCCTACCTGTGTGTAAATGATCATATTTTCTATCCTGATAACCTTGATCCTGTTGTGCAGTTGGAGGAAATTTGACTCCATCATAGGGTGGACCAAAATCTGTTTGATAGCCTGGTAAATGCACACCTTGTCCATCTTCTTCCTCATCGTCATCATCATCTTGATCGTGTCTCATTGTTTCCGTTTTTTGTCCAAATCGAACTTTTTTCGATGATGAAGGTAAAATATCAACAGCTGGTAAAACATTTTGGGTGAGTTTTTTCTCTAATGTGGATGGTTGATTAGTGGACGGAATATAGTTTGGTTGAAGAATTCTAGTGTCGCGAACTTGTGGTCGAGCAAGTAAAATGGCATTGCGAGATAATTGATAGGGAACTGTTGCCTCACTACTATGATCGATTTGAGGTGGATCAGTTTGACGTTGAACAATCAATGGAGGATTAAGAATTGTGGCAGACGGAGACTTCTGAAAAGAGAAATTCGTAGAATACAAGCAGATATTTTTATCTTAACTGTTTGATGATAGAAAATTATATAATGAATCTTTTCTTGTTTATTTGCACCCTCTCATACTTTTTCTTTGACTGGTATGTAATCGATCTGATGTGGTTGTTTTTGAATTTGTGGTTGTTGTTTAATTCCTTTCAGTTTTAAATACGGTTGTTTTCCTTCTTTTTTAATTCGTTGATATAACGATCGTCCATAAACACTTTGCATAAATTCTTCACTATATGGCACTTTCACACCACCTGTGTCACGTGGTGAAACATTCTGTTGCCCTCTCAGTGTTAAATGTCGATCGAATGCTAATTGTGTACGAGATGAAAATATTTTCTTCGTTTGTTTTTTATTCATCTGTTGTAATTCCCGTTCTTTTTCCGTTTGTTCTCTAAAAGCGATTTCTTCCAATTCTAAATTGTGACTAACTTCTTCTTGAACTTGCTTCGTTACTGTTTTAACACATCGATCAACTAAAACGATAATAATCTTTAGAGTGGACCATGTTTACTTATCAGCCCGTACTATACCTACCCAACCGATAAATTCTGGCTTTATCCTTTGATTCTAATTCTAGATGTGTCAAATATAACGGATCGTTTTTTCGTCTTTCTAACGTTGAATAGTTTTCATCAATTCTTAGCTTTGCTTCTTCTAACTCGGTTAACATTAAACGTAAATTTGATGATTTATCGTCATCTTGTACTTTTCGTTGTTCATGCAATGTAGGTGCATCCTTATTGTTTAAATATTTATCGAATGGTAAATACGTTTCATCAATAGCTGAATAAATGGGCTAAAATAAAGGTGCATTTGAATTTAATGAGAGATCAATCTTGATTAAATGTTTCTTACTCTGGTATCGTGGGGGATAAATCCATCCGAATGCATTGTCTGTGATGTATGCGGTCGTTCAGGTGGAGAATGATCTTGAAATGGTAATGGAATGTAGGGTCGTGGATGTGAGGCGTCCGATGGTGATGGCGAACGAGATTTTGATCGATCACAAACCGAACAGGGATAAAGATTCGATGGGGGTGAGAGGGATCGATGAACGTTGAATTTTGTTTTTAGTAAAGGCGGTGAAGGAGATTTGCGATGACGTTGAGTTTGGCCAGTTGACGGACGGCCGACGCGAAGACGTTTTGTATTATTAGCAGCTGAGGGTTGGGACTGATGAACCTTTTTTGATGAACGATGAGTTTTGTGACTGGTTGTTTTTAATGAATGAAGACGTACTGGTGGCGAAGTGGGAGGTGACGGATTGATTAGAGTGTTTAAAAATCCCAATTGATCAACGGCGGCAGTGTGATCTAAAGAATATAAATAAATAAAAATATTCAAATCAGTTTCTTTAGTCAACATCGAATTTGTATTGTTTAAATTACAAGAATGAAACGGAAAAACGTTGTCACTTTACCCTTGATGCTAACAGATTGAATTTATGTGTATAAAGATGTTGAAACGTCTCCAGCTGTACTCACTAGTCAATTGTTGATTATCCTCCTGTTTTCTCGATGTCGATAATGAGAGTTTCGTATTGTAATCAGGTGAATATTGTTGTTTCGGTGATTTTGTGTTTGTTTGTTGTTGATATTTTTTTTGATCAATAACTTGAACTAATTCTTTTAGAACAATTTGTTGTTGTTCTTGAACTTTTTCCATATATTTCATTCTTGTATCGATGCAATCATTCATTTGTTGTTGAAAACGATCAACTATGGGTTTCTCGTGTTGTACCAATGTTGGATGAACAACGGTTGTGCCATCTAAATGAGAATAGAAAATGCACATTTATCCGTCTACACGCAGACAAAACTTTCTTTACCTTGAATTTTGTCTAAAACCGATTTGACTTTTTGTTCAAACTCACTGTGTAATTTTAAAAATGGTTGAGTGACTGATACAGCGACACTAGCTGCTACCGTAGCAGCTAAGGACGATTGATCTTGACTTGTTGGATTATTGACAGATACAATGTTTGTATTGGACAAAGACTGCACAGGTATATGTCGTTGATAAGGTTGAGTGTTCGCCGATGAAAATCGCTTCGCTAATTGGGAACGAGCAAAAGCTTTTGATGTACGAGAATCGAAACGAGTTGTTTCAACATCAGGTGTCACATGAGTCTGTGATGGAATGGCGACAGGTGATGATGTGAAATCGACGAGGTGGTTATTAGCAACATCTAAGAAGAACAAAAACAACAAATACTATTCATTCCATGTATCTTTTAAAAACATGATTGATAATGCAGCTGTTATGAATTTCATCATATCCTTTATTTTCTCCGGATATTTCAACTTTAAACAGTCATTTTCAACATAAAACTACTATACAGTAAAAATGAAAAATACTTTCTTTTTCAATACAATGATTCATAATCGAAAAAAGAAAGTATTTTTTTCATTTTTTCTGTACAGTATTAAGGTCGACATATCCAGAGAAAATAAAGGATATGATCAAATTCAAAAC